CGGGGCGCTGCCCCTGCTGCCCGGCGCGCGCGCCTACGTGAGTCCGCGGCCGCCCTTCTACCGGCCTCTGGCCCCGGAGCTGCGGGCGCGCCGGCTGGAGCTGGGCGCCGAGCACGCGTTGCTGCTGGACGAGGCGGGCCAGGTGTTCTCCTGGGGCCAGGGCAGGTGAGGGGGGCGTGGCCGGATGGGGGCGCGGGGCGGAAGCAGATAAAAGTGGCTCCGAGCGGGGGCCCGCGCGTGTGATTGGGGAAGGAAGCGGAGGAGGACCCGCTTGGGCTCTCCCTTGCGCAGGCACGGACAGCTGGGCCACGGGACTCTGGAGGCCGAGCCGGAGCCGAGACTGCTGGAGGCGCTGCAGGGCCTTCCCATGGCTGAGGTGGCCGCCGGTGGCTGGCACTCCGTGTGTGTGAGTGGTAAGTGACATAGTGCTGCTCTGGACAAACTCAAGGTCTCCTAGGCTCCAAACCTTCCTCCTCCTCTTCCAGTGTTGGTGGGTAGTCTAGCGAGGCCTCCTTCCACGTTCATCCCATATTAACCAGCCAGGTCTTTCAGGACTCCTCAGTGCCTCTCCAAGTCAGCCCTCTGCCCGGGCTATTACCCACTCGCACTGTGACTGTTGCAGATGTTTGCTGTCTTCTTTTTTTTAAAGATTTTATTTATTTATTTGACAGAGAGAGACCCAGCGAGAGAGGGCACAAGCAGAGGGAGTGGGAGAGGGAGAAGCAGACTCACCGCTGAGCGGGGAGCCCGATGCGGGGCTCCATCCCAGGACCCTGGGATCATGACCTGAGCTGAAGGCAGACGCTTAACGACTGAGCCACCCAGGCGCCCCAATGTTTGCTGTCTTCTGATGGTGGGCTCCCTACCTCTCCCAGGCCTCCGCCTCCAGCCAGGGCTGCGTTTCTAAAACACTCCGCAAGGGCGCAGGAAGGGGTGAGGAGGCAGCTGAGCTGAGGAGAATGGAGGAGAAAGGGTGCAGGGCGTCAGGTGGCCATGATGTGTGGCACACAGACACGCAGATGTCCACAGGGAGGTTGATGGTGGTGAGGGTGAGCCCAGAATGAGGACCTTCGTTTGGGATCGTAAGTCCACCGCCCTGGCAGGCCACCCAGCTGTAGCTGATTGCTAGGCTGTTGGGTGAGGCTGGGAGCAGGTGGTCTTTGCAAGGGTCTGCACCTGGGGCTCTGGCTGCCGCTTCTGTCCCCGGGGGTGGGGGGGCAGCTTTAAAAACGTCGTGTGCCTGCACCACCACCCCCACAGTCTCCTGTCATGGGTCTGGCTTGGCAGCCACGCGTGGAAACTACTGGACCGGAGGGACGGGAAGAGAAGACTAGAAACAGCCAGATGGGAAGTCTCCCACTTCAGGTTGCTAGAAATTTGAGGTCTTGAGTTTGTTAGAGTGTTTGGAGCACAGATGCTTCAGGCCAGACTTGCTAGGTTCAGATCATCACTTTGCCCCTTGTGACCTTGGGCAGAGCACTTCACCTCTTCGTGTCCCCTGTTTTCTCATGAATAAAACAGGGATGTTGTCCTATAACCCTCTGTAGGGCTCTTCTGATAATTAAATGATTATATTTGAAAAGTGCTTAAAATTCTGGCACAAAGTAAACATTTGATAAAAATGAGCTGCTGTCATTAGTGAATTTTTACATGAGAGGCAAGGAAGGTGAGAGCTTCCAGAAGAGGCCTTCACTGGGACCAGTGGTGGGTGGGGCTGAGGAAAGGGGTGTCGTGGGCTCAGTGGGTTTGAAACGGAGGCCGTTGGGAATTTCCAGGGATACATTTCTGAAGTGTGTGTGGTGGCGTGTTCCGTGAAAGTTAAGTTTATGCGAAGCAATCTCCAAAGGAGTTCTAGACCAAAGAAAAAGGTCCACAAGTCCAGCTTGACAAGAAACGGTTTACTAAGGGAGCTTCTGGACTCGTCTTGGGCGGCTGCAACACAGCTGTGACCGCCGCCCCCTCCCGTCAGACCTGCTTTTATAGCCCTAGAGGCTGGGAGCCCGTGGTGGGCGAACACCCAGGAGGAGAATGTTCGAGAATAATTCCGTGTCTGTTCCCTCTCCAGAGCAGATCCAAGGACCTTATGCCCCAAGGGTGTTCTTAGGGTCTATTATGTGTGTTACTTAAAAAAAGAAAGTGTGTCTGGGGGCTGTTCTCAAGGAGGCTTCGTTCAGGTCTCCGAACTGTCGTCATGGCAGCGTTGTGCAAGATGGCGCTCGGCCGGTTCACACGTGGGAGGTGGGGCGGGGGCAATTTAGCAACAAAGGGAAAAAGTGAAACTGGAGAGGAAGATCCAGGAGACCCTGTTTAAAGAAAAGGACAGGGGTGCCTGGGTGGCTCAGTTGGTTAAGTGACTGCCTTCGGCTCAGGTCATGATCCCAGGATCCTGGGATCGAGCCCCGCATCGAGCCCCGCATCGAGCCCTGCATCGGGCTCCCTGCTCGGCTGGAAGACTGCTTCTCCCTCTCCCACTCTCCCTGCTTGTGTTCCCTCTCACACTGTCTCTCTCTCTCTCTCTCTCTCTGTCAAATAAATAAATAAAGAATCTTTAAAAAAAAAAAAAAAAAAAAAAGAAAAAGAAAAGGATGCCGGAAGCACTTGAGGGGGACGGGAGCCTGTAAGACCAGGAAGCTGCTGGGGCCTGTGGGAGGCACTGGCCGGAGGGCTGCCTGGGCGGGGCAGCATTAGTGGGTAATGCGGGCGTTTGGACGGATTCAGGGGCCTTAGGAGGGTGAGGGTGCGGTTCACAGTCTGTTTAATGGGTCCCCTGCATCTCTTTTTCAGAGACTGGGGATATTTATATCTGGGGCTGGAATGAGTCCGGGCAGCTGGCCTTGCCCACCAGGAGCCTGGCAGAGGATGGAAAGACAGTTGCAAGGGAAGGTGAGGGTCAGTTCTTCCACGCATGCTTCTGTCCTTCCTGACTCCTGGCCACATGCTGGCCTGAGACCTTGTAGTGCTCAGAGGGGACACGGGACATCCTTGGGACCCCAGGACCCTCTGTAGGACTCCGGGCTCTGGGGAGGGATGGGGGTATGGCAGGGCTGATGCCTGCCTCCTCAGCGCACTCCCCCTGACCTGTCAACTCCAGCGCTTCTGGGGAACGCGGGGTCTGGGAGCGGCAGCCGTGGTGTCAATGGCAGGGGCCTCGTGGAGCTATCGTGCCGCCTGAGGTCCTGGATGGCTAAGGTGTAGCCAGTGCTCCACGTTACCGGTCACGATCCTCCTCACTCTCTCTTGCTGCTTCTCTGAAGCCAGCGGACTGAATGAAGGTGGCCCCAGCGGAGGTGAGGACGGAGCCCCGGCCCCCTTCATAGCCCTCCAGCCCTTCCCAGCTTTACTGGATCTCCCCGGGGGCGCAGATGCAGTCAAGGCCAGCTGTGGCTCCCGGCACACAGCCGTGGTGACAAGTGAGTGGGGCTGGGCGGGCGGCTGACGATGGAGCAGGAAGGCCTCCACCCCATCCCTTAGCTGGTGCTGCAGACAAGGCTGTGATCCCCTTAAAAACTTCGACTTTGAGTGTCTCTGACAAGTACTGAGTAGCCACCCCCCTCAGCGAAAATAGCCCCAACCCCCATGGGGCTTTAACGGTAGCCCCCCAGCTGTCAGGCCGCGAAGGCCCCTCCTTCTGGAAGGACGCTAGTGTTTGCCGGCCGCTTGGTCCGAGCGGTCCAGGTGCTAAGCCTCCTGAACTCGGTAGCTGTGAGAGCCCGGCTGACCAGTTGGCATCCAGGAAGGTAAACTTCTTCCACCTGGATCCTCTCCCGCCCCGGGTGTGATTAGACGGTTGTTAGAGAATATGCTGTGCTATGCCAGGCAGAGCTCAGGACACTTAGAAGGTGCTGGCTCTGGACCGTGGCAGGTCATGCTAGACAAATGCCTGTGACAGCCCCGTACTGTCCTTCTGGTTGTAGGAACTGGCGAGCTGTACACCTGGGGCTGGGGTAAGTAAAAGGTTTGTTTGTGTGATGCTTAAACCAGGGGAGGAAGGGGCCCGGGGGCAGAGGGCAGGAGACGACAACCATGCGGCGGGCGGAAGCAGGGGCCTCGGCCTGACCCCTGGGAAGTCTGGGACGGAAATGCTGCGTATTCCCTTGCCTAGAACAGATCTAAGCGCACTGAAGTCAGAGACCACATGGGAGAGAAGTAGATATTAGTACTTCCCGTGTATCTTTCTGAAAAATTGTCTTGAGGGAAGAGTTAGGCAGCATTTATGACACCTCTCTTGGTCTGACATTGGGGTCTGGGGTTAGGAGCAGAGAACCTGGAAGAGCATCTTGCCTGGCGTGGCTGGTGGCAGCTGCCTCTTGGGGACCTGGGGGGCAGCGTGGCCCCGAAGGCTCTGTGGCGCTGGCCTCCTGAATTTCCAGAGCAGACACCAGCGGAGTGGTGGCTCAAGCCCTGCACTTTGGTTGATGGGCTGATTTTCCTTCCTGGAGGGGAAAAGCCCCAAGGCCCAGGGGGGAGGATGGCCAAGCGGCTCATTTCCCTTTAGGTAAATATGGACAGCTTGGCCACAAGGACACGACCAGCTTGGATCGGCCCCGCCGTGTGGAATATTTTGTAGATAAGCAGCTCCAAGTAAGGGCCGTGAGCTGTGGGCTCTGGAACACGTACGTGTGTGCTGTGGAGAGAGGGGAGAGCTGACAGCCACGGGTAAGGGCGTGAAATGAATGTATAGTTAATGATCCAGTCACACCAGTGAACCTCACCCCAGCCAAGGAAACCATTGCCGGCACCCCAGAGGCCCCGCGTCTGCCCTCACCGGAGAGCCGCGTCGTCAACTTTGTCCTCGTGTTAGTGACACCTAAGGAGCTCTGGAAGGGCAAGCCCAAGGCCCGCACTGCAGACACAGTGAAATCCAAACCTCTGGGCGCGGAGCCTGGAGGGGGTAGATTTCAAAGCTCCCCCAGCCAACCCAAGGTGATTTGAGGTCTTGCCAAGATTGGGGACCGGCAGGGGTCATCTTGGTCATCTTTTCTTGCCTATTTTCACCTAGAGTTGTATCACCCTTGTATGCATCCTTGTTCAATAGAGTTTAGTTTGTTTGCTTTGAACTTTATGTAAATGAAGTCATTTTGGATATGTTCCTTTGTGTCTTGTTTGTTATCCATCTGCCTTGTGCCCTGCAGTTCATTCATGTTTATTGTTAACGGTATTCCATCCTGTGAATACACCTCCTTATATATTCTTTTGTTGGTCATTTTTTCTTTTATTGAGTTAAAATACACATAAAAATATATTATCCTAACCATTTTTTTCCCAAGATTTTATTTATTTATTTATTTGACAGAGAGAGACACAGCGAGAGAGGGAACACAAGCAGGGGGAGTGGGAGAGGGAGAGGCAGGCCTCCTGCTGAGCAGGGAGCCCGATGCGGGGCTCGATCCCAGGACCCCGGGATCATGACCTGAGCTGAAGGCAGAC